ATTGGGGAGAACCCAAAGGGATTATCTTGGGATTATCTGTGTCAAGGCTGGCTAGGGCTTTGTGCCCAGGAGACCTGTGGAATGTACCTTCTAAAGCATGGTGCTGCTGAACAACCACTCTGATCTGGTGTCTTCATTGGCTAAGTAATAGATCAGTTTCCACAGCTGGGGATGTTAGTCCTGCCTACACACTTTGTCTCTGCCTCTCCTTAGGGTTATTTCTCCCTTCAGGCAGTCATGATGCTTTCTGTGGGTTAAGGCAAGAAAAGGTCTCCTGCCAGAGCACCTAAGATGATGGGGAAGCTGGTTAACCCCCTTAATCATTCTTTTTCAAGTGTAGATTGTGAGTTGGGGGGCGATTTTCCATGTACTTGGTGCTAGGCAGAATGGTGGGTGAGGAGCATTGCAGATGTGTAAGTCTGATTCTCTTACCATTTGCTTAATGTTTTTACTTCTCTGTGGCCTTGGGAACTATTTCATTCTTGCATTTGACTTTTGGGTTGTTGCTGGCGAATATCCTGGCACTGTGTAATGGTTTTCTGTTTTTGTGTGTGTGGGGGGGAAAGTGAAACCATCTTGCTTCTATATTGCCATTTTGGAACCAGAAGTAAAAAATCTTTGCATTAGTTAACTTTGTATAATTGAATTAAATAAAGCTATCTTCAACTCGTTTTAGAAGAACATGTAAATATTGTCTATGTGGCCCAGCACAGTGGCTCACGCCTGTAATCCCAGCACTGTGGGAGGCTGACACAGGCAGATCAAGAGGTCGGAAGATTGAGACCATCCTGGCCAAAATGGTGAAACCTCATCTCTACTGAAAATACAAAAATTAGCCAGTTGTGGTGGCACGTGCCTGTAGTACCAGCTACTCAGAAGACTGAGGCAGGAGAATAGTTTGAACCCGGGAGGTGGAGGTTGCAGTGAGCTGAGATCATGCCACTGCACTCCAGTCTGGGTGACAGAGCAAGACTCTTTCTAAAAAAAAAAAATTTAAATAAAAAAAAAAATAAATATATATATATATATATATAGTCTATGTATAAAAACTCATAATTGTTAAAGCAGAACAGGATAAGAAGTATAGGAAGGGGACAAAACAATTCCTTAGAGTGGATTTCAACGGTAATTACTATTTTGCAAAGAAATTCAAACAAATAAACAAACCTCTCAGAAAACTATCGTTCTATACTGAAAAACAAAGTCAATTTATACAATTTCAAAAACTGAAGATGAGTTAAGACATTTCTAAATTACAGAAAAAGTATAAATAATATTCCAAATAGTAGAAATCATGGTGGGGCATAGTAGCCCATGCCTGTAATCCCAGCACTGTGGGAGACCGAGGTGGGCAGATCAGTTAAGACCAGGAGTTCGAGAACAGCCTGGCCAACATGGCAAAATCCCGTCTGTACTAAAAATACAAAAGTTAGCCAGGCATGGTGGTGGGTACCTATAATCCCTGCTACTCAAGAAGCTGAAGCATGAACCGCTTAAACCTGGGAGGTGGAGGTTTAGTGAGCTGAGATCGCACCCCTGTACTCCAGCCTGGGTGACAGAGCAAGACTCTGTCTTGAAAAAAAAGTAGAAATCAATACACAAATTATTAGGCATAGTGGGAACTATATAATGTAAGGAAAAGACACACTATAAAAGAACACTTAACAACTTTGCATTCAATTAAATAATGTATCATTAAAACATTAATGCACAATTGTTTGACATGGAGGAGAGTGTGGCAGCCATCAAAATTCTCTTTGCAAACCTTCAAGTACATGGAGCTAATTGAGGAGAGCTCCAGCTGCCAGCTTTGGAATCTATCCCTATGCGAGGCTATGCCACCTACATACTGCTCTCATGGGATTTAAGGCACAACCTATTCCTGGAGAAAAGGATTATCTCTGACTGCAACTTTGGCTTGAGGACTCCCTATTGGTTTTCCCAGCCTTCTCAGACAATGTGGCTGTCTAGAAGGTTTCCGCTCACCTTTTCTCCTTGTTTCCTACACTCCAGGTCAGACTTGCATTGTGGCTTGATGACTCTTCCCAGTGTTCTCTGGTTCCTTCTCCATATTCCTTCTCCATATTCCTTCACATTTCCCCCTAATAAGCACCTGCATGGTGAATCTGGTTTTGACATCTGCTTCTCTGAGAACATGGAATAACACAAAAAGAGTGACAAAACAATACACTTGTGGAGAAAGATCTGAATTGCACATCATTTGAAGTTAGCAATTTCAAGTAGCCAGCATACTAGAACCTCAATAGTTCATGTGTAGCAGAAAAAGGAAGTCAGAATTGGATTCAGCAATGCAGTGGTTTTCTAAGAGGGGTAGATACTAGTGGTAAACTTGGATTTCTTTTTGGCAGAATTCAATGTTTTGAGAAGGTCTCAAGTAGTAGTAGGTCTCAAATGCAGGAAGCATCAGCACCAGGAAGTAACTGGGAATGCATAATTGTGGGTGACTCCTTTTTTCACCCAGTTACTGAGGGTTCAAGGAGCAAAATCAAGCTCGCCAGGGAACAGCAATGGTCAAGGTGGAGCTGATATCCAGTCCTAGAGTTTTTACAACCAGAAATGGAGGCAGAATTTCTACTGCATCAGTCATTATAGAGGTCATGGTAAGAAAACAATAACTCTGGAGGCTCACCTGGTCATCACAAATAACCTGTTAGGAAAAAGATAACTCATCACAGACTCCTTGTATGGGCAGTACTAATACCTTCAATGTAATACTTCTTGCTCAGGATTACCTCAAAAAGAATGGCGATTCTTCAGGGTGGGAAGACAGGAACTGACAATATCAAGATGATAAAATGAATTAACAAAAATATTGACTACTTGGACAATCCAGTTACTCAGGCAACTTCAATAAATTGTAAGCTTAGATGAGAAAATTAAAAATATATTTGTATATAGCTGTTAACAAAAAATCTTAAGTAAGCCATAAGGATATATTTAAAAATATTAACCACCAACCTCTTAATGGCAGAAATTATGCCCAATACATGTTTTAGCCACAATATATTTTAAAAAGAAATAAATAATGAGAACATGAATAAATTGTTTAATTTTTTGCATATTAAAAATACTTTTTTATAAGTAAAAATTGGCTTAGGAAACAAATTAAGAATTCAATAAAAATCTATTTTAAAGTAATAATAAACAGAGCTCTGCATATTAAAATGTATTGGGATGTAGGCCAAAACAGTGTTTAGAAGAAAATGTACTCACTTAAAGGTCTTTAATAAGAAGAAATAAAAAAGAAATATTCATGAAAAAATGATTGTACTGTAGAATTCTAGAACAGAATAAAATATTAATTTAAAGCAAAATAGGGAAGCAATTTAAAAGCATAAATTAATAACCTGGAAAGTAACTGGCACAATTATATACAAAATTAAAAGCTAATTATTTGATGAGAGGAAGAACACTGATAAACTTGTGATAAAATATAATTTTAAAAACGCAGAATAATTTTAGTGCATAAATATATCTATATGGATACCCCAATGTGATATATCCAATTTAAAAATATCAGGCTGGGTGCAGTGGCTCACACCTGTAATCTTAGCACTTTGGGAGGTTGAGGTGGGTGGATCACTTGAGGTCAGGAGTTTGAGACCAACCTGGCCAACTTGGTGAAGCCTATCTCTACTAAAAATATAAAAATTAGCTGGGTGTGGTGATGCATGCCTGTAATCACAGCTACTCGAGAGGCTGAGGCAGAAGAATCACCTGCTCCTGGGAGGCAGAGGTTGCAGTGAACAGACATGGCCTCACTGCAATCCAGCATGGGCGACAGAGGGAGACTCCACCTCAAAAAAAATAAATAAATAAAAGTAAAAAATAAAAAACATCAATATACACACCTAGAGAGAGACAGAGAGAAAAAAAATCCTAATGTTCCCTAAATTAATCTCCTTTCCTGCGCACCCTATTCAATAAATGGTGCTGTGAAAATTGGACAGCCATATGCAGAAGGATGAAACTGGATCCCTATCACTCACCACATACCAAAGTTACCTCAAGGTGGATTAAAGACTTCAATGTATGACTTGAAGCTATAAGAGTCCTAAAAGGAAATGTAGGAAAAATTCTTCTAGACATTGGCCTAGGCAAAGAATTTATGATAAAGACCCCAAAAGCAAATGCAACAAAATAAAAAATAGACAAATGAACCTCAACTAGAGTAAAATTCTTCTGCACAGCAAAACAAAACAACAACAACAACAACAAAAAAAAAAGAGTAAACAGAATCTACAAAAACTCAAGTAACTCAATTAGAAAAAAACAAATAACCCCATTGAAAAGAGGGCAAAGGATATGAAGACATTTCTCAAAAGAAGACATACAAGCAGCCAACCAACATAGGAAAAAAGGCTTAACATCACTAATCATCAGAGAAATGCAATTAGAACCACAATGAGACACCATCTTACACCAGTCAGAATGGCTATTAATAAAAAGTCAAAAGACAACAGATGTTGGCAAAAATGCAGAGAAAAGGGAACACTTATATACTGTTGGTAGGAATGTAAGCTAGTACAATCTCCATGGAAAACAGTGTGAAAATTTCTCAAATATCTAAAAATAGAACTACTATTTGACCCAGCAGTCCCAATACTGGGTATCTCCTCAGTGGTAAGAAATTATTATATCAAAAAGACGCCTGAACTCATGTGTTTATTGTAGCACTATTCACAATAGCAATGATATGGAACCAACCCAAGTGTCCATCTACAGATGTTAGATAAAGAAAATGTGATATATGTATATAATTAAGTGAGTGATGTTTGTAACCTACTCTGCCAATCTCTGTCTTTAACTTGGTTTATCAGACCACTTACATTTAATATATATGGTGTGTATATATACATCACAGAGATATCTCTCTCTTTCTGTGTGTGTGTGTGTGTGTGTGTGTGTGTGTGTAATGGAATACTATGCAGCCATTAAAAATAATGAAATTGTGTCTTTTGCAGCAATATATATGGAACTGGAGGCTATTATCGTAAGTGAAATAACTCAGAAATTGAAAATAAAATAGCATGTGTTCTCACTTACAAGTGCGAGGTAAACAATGAGTATACTTTGGACATAAAAATGGAAATAATAGACACTGAGGACGTCAAAAATAGGGAAAGTGTGAGGGTTGAAAACTTATCTATTGGGTGCAATGATCCCTATTTGGGTGATGGGTGTACTTGAAGCCCAAACGTCACCATTACACAATATATCCATGGAACAAACCTGTACCCTCTGAATCTACAATTAAAAAAAAAATCTCCTTTCCTGGATTCTCTTTCTGTCTGTCCAGTGTTAGAGAGGTCCATGCTCTGTCTTCGTCCCTGCGTGGTCTTCTGGGGTCTCTGGCTGTAATTATAACTTCCTAGTTGTTATCTCTGGCCTTGATTTCTTCCTTAAGCTCTAAATGCTTTTTAAAATTTTTTACTTAAAAATCTCTTCTTCAAAATCTAATAAACATCCCTTAGTTTAAACATCTAAAACCAAGGAAGCCCTCCACGTGTACCCACTCACATACAGTTCCTCCTTCAACTGTCTTTCCCTCAGAAAATGGCGCCACCATTCATCCAGCTCTTCAGGCATCAACCTCAGCATTATCATCTCACCTGGAATTCATCAACTAGCCCTACCGGTGCTACCTTTGAGGAAAGTATGTATATATGTTGATTTCAGCTGCTTCTTGCCACCTGCATTCCTATCACTTTAATCCATATCTTTATCTCTTGCCTGGATCTTGCAGTAATTCCATTTACCACCACCTGCCTCAGGAGCCTGGACAAGCTTTTAAAATCTGCCCAGTGACATCCCACCGCACATGAAGGAAAGTTTATCGTGTTTCCTCAGATCCTCACATGGGTAACGCCTTCACTCCTTCTGCTCAAATGCTGGATCACCTTATCAAAAATGACCTCATTATACCACTACCTTTCTTGCTGTCCCCTTTTTCTGCTTTATCTTTCTTCACAGCAGTTATTGTGACCTGAAATTATAGTATTCATTTGTATACTTGTATATTGTCTGCCTATTTCTCCCCCTGGGTGTCAGAACACACATTCACCCTGCCCTGCCCCACTCCCAATACCTTTCTTTTTTTCAGAAACAGCAACTCCCAAAACTCTCTAACCCAGAAGGTGAAGTGCAGACCTAGAGAAGGCAGTGCATTGCTTGAAGCCATGGAAGTCCCCTGTCCCATGTCTTGGTCAGAGACCTGTACAAAGTTCACAGAGTTTTTAAGACATACTGGAGATTAGAGTTTTCACCCACAATTGAGAACTGACAACTGAGACCTCAGAAGAGAGGAGCCGCACTAATGAATGCCTGTCAGGAATGAAGAAAAGGCCTGCCATCTATAAATAGGAGAATGTGAGTCAAAGGTCACTTTATGCAGACTGTCTTTCAACTTCCACAGAGGAACTAGAATGGATTATTTCCCTAAGTGAGTGAATCTCTAGGTATGAAGGAGGCATGCTAGCTTTGATCCACCACGGCTCACAGAGGAGGATCTCAAATAAAATAAAGTATACAGTATTACTGCATGGCTTCTCACGACCCCAGGCCCAGTGTGTTTGGAAATATTGGAGAGAAGCTGGAGGGTTGTGTCTTCATGACACATGTGAGAGCTTGGAGGCCCTCAAGCATCTGGCTGTCCTCAGGTTTAGTCAGGGGAGGAACAACAGTTTTAAGTGGGTTTCCGTAGGTTCCACAGTAGAAGCCAGGACAGGGTGCATGTCATGTGGCTTTCGACATTCACAGCTAGCCAGCCTCTAGGCCATCTCTTTTTTGGGTGAGCAGAGTGTGGTTCTGACCCTTCTCGGAAGTTGTTAGGCATTCCAGGCTCAAGTAACCCACCAGTCTTTTAAATATAGATAGTACAAATCCAATAACACTCTTACATTTCAACATAGCATTGGCACCAAAACCCAGACTGCTGTAATAAAATCAAGTTACATCCGCCAGTTCTATATTTATGGACCACAGACTTTAGAAAATTTAGAGGACAATCTGGAAAGCAAAGCAAGAACATTTTATTTCAAAATAGGATTTGCTTGGGAGACTCCAGGTCCCCAAAAGAGAATTATCGTGGAGACCCCTTATCAAGGCAGCCACACAAGCAGATCTAGAGTAGGTTTAGAGCCAAAATACACATTTTCCTGTTGTCAAATGATAAATCTGTATAAATCTTATTTTGTTCAACTAAGAAGTAAAAGCAACAGCCTGGGACTAGACCTCTGAAATTATGATGTTAGAGAGTCTAGTGATGGGATGAAGACTTAATTTCAGTTATGGCTTCAATATGGTTTGTCTCTACCAAAACTCATGCCGAAATCTGATCCCTAATATGGTGGTGTTGGGAGGCGGGACCTAATGTGAAGAGTGTGGGTCATGGGGATGGATCCCTCTTTAATAACTTGGTGCTGTTCTCACGGTAGTGAGTGAGTTTTTGCTCTGGTGAGCCTGAAGTAGTTTTCTTGAAAATTGATTCGTTCCCTGAGAATGGGTTGTTATAAAGACAGGGCTCTCCCTGAGTTCTCCTGAGTTCGGGACTCTACCTGAACTAATCACATTGGCCCGGGGAATAAAACCGTCTGGTTTGCTCAGGTCAAATATGGTCCACCCCAGATAGGATGTTAGACGGAATCCCATAGAAACTTCATTGTCTGTTTTACAATGGGGTATGAGTGGAATGGATAATGGGGTGTTTATTACAGCTATTGCTAGGCATATTACAGCTATTTTTACTAAAATAAAAATGATTTTTTTCTTCTGTGTGCTTTTACGATTTTCAATTTTGCTATAATGAACATATGTTTTGTAATAAAAAGAAGGAAATACAAAAGAAAATAAAATTAGAAATAGGATACATAGCAATGGAGAACAATGTTAAAACTAGGATGTGTTAGGCACAATTATATGCTAATAAAATTAGATAAGTGAAATGTGTGTATTTCTATTAAAATACAATATATTAATACTGAATCAAGGAAAAAGAGAACACCAAGAACTGAAAGAGAAAGTGGATAATTTACGAAAGAAACGTACTCGCTTCTCCTACCTACTCTATCCAGCAGAACTTGAAAATTGTCTTTAGATCTTCAGAAAGCAAATATAGTCTCATAGTTACCAAACATGGTATTCTATCTGTAGTGGACATTTATTGTGTTTGTAACTCAAAAGTATCTTTTGAACGTCTTTCTATGTTTGGAGAATTTCCCATGTTACAAATTCCTCTTCTCCAAGAGAGAAATCAGACTATGCTCTCCCAGACTCCCTTGCAGTCAGACACAGGCTTTGACCTGGGCTTTGCTAATGAGATGCATCTGCAACCAGACTTCAATTGCCAAGTAAAAACTGGGAGAAAGAGTACAAAGTGTGGATCAACTTTTGGCAAATATAGTGCCAGGGCCTCTGGCAACCCGCTTTCACCATAGGCCTCTGGAACCCGGCAGGAGGAGCCTCCTCAACCACCACAGACACTCAAGTGGGCAGGGAGCACTGCTTAGAGAAGAGGTAGAGGCAGCAAGCCAGCTGACGTGGAGCCTGAGGGTTTGATGTGGGAGTGTCTGCAGTGGAGCACCTCCAGGGATGGCCTGAAATGTATGCGTTTCATCCCCCAGGCTTGACTTGCTCCCATGGGAGACTTTAACCCTAGAGGAACTGTAGGGCCTGATCTTTCAGGGTGGTCTTGCCCATCAGACCAGGCTGATCTGACCTGAACACTCGTTGGTCTGCTGGCCTCTCCTCGGTCCCTAGCCGGGACCTCCTCGGTCCCACACCTGCTTGTAGGGCAGTCCCCGATGCCCTGGGGGCTGGCACCATAGCTTCTGTGCTGGTGGACTGTGCCTGATCAGGGGAGAGCTCCAGCTGGGTGGCTCCATGGCCACACACCAGGCTACCCATTCACTCCTCAGACTGAAGCTTCCTCCAGGCCCATAGCAACTCCCCACATCACTTTGCTGGCATGTGCCAACACTAATGGGAAGGGCTTCTTTCTTTGCCCTGTCAGCGGAGGGGAGTGCAATCCTCCCCGCTTCCCTTCGCAGACTGCCATTGCAGATGGAGCCTCGGTGGGCACAAGTTCAGAAGCCCCACCCCTGCCAGTGCCTGGTCCTGCACTAACACTGTGCAGAGAACAGCAGATCTTCCTCCACCCTGAACAATCACTCCTGTTTGTAGGGCATAGAGAAGGCACCCTGCACCAGCCAGCACCTCACACCAGACCCAGCACTACCTCCGGTGTGACCATACACACAGTCTCCAGCAGGGCTCGCCTACTCCACTGTCCCCCAACCCGTCTGCATTGCCGCTGTCACTGTGGTGAACACCTGCAAGGAGGCAGGCACTTGGCACCCAATGGCGCTCTGCCACAGCGGCTGTGCCTCAACACACCACCCCGCCACCAGCACACCGTATTCCATGCCTCAAAGAGCCAGAGAACAAAATCAGGGCCCAATGCAAGTCCTCCAGTTAACTAGAACATTGAGTTCTTTTATATCCTTGAGGGTTTTTTTGTCTAGATAGTTTATAATTCGTTGAGAAGGGGTGTTAAAATCTCCAACTATAAGTGTGACTTTGTCTATTTCTCCTCCCAGTTCTATCAGTTTTTGTTCCACATATTTTTCAGTTCTGTTGTTTGGTGCACACACTTTTAGGATTGCTATGTCTTTTTGGAGACGTAACCGTGTAAAATATCTCTGTCTCTGATGATTTTCTTTGCTGTGAACTCTATTATACATGGTAATAATAAAGCTAGTCCTCCTTTCTTTTGCTTAATGTTCGCATGATATACCATTTTCCAATATTTTACTTTTAAGCGGTCTATATCATTATATTTTAAGTAAATTTTTTGTAGACAACCAAGTGGGTGATGTTTGTAACCTACTCTGCCAATCCCTGTCTTTAACTTGGTTTGTCAGACCCCTTACATAGAATGTAATTATTGGTGCATTAAAACGTAACATTTATTTAATTTTTTGTTTATGTTTAGCCTCTCTTTTATTTCTGTAATTTCATGGCTTTCTGTGGATTACTTGAACATTTTTCAAACTATTTTGATACGTTTATAGTCTTTTTGGGTGTATTTATTTCTCTTTTATGTGTAAGATATATGTGTATCATATATGTATCACATATATATATATATATACACATATATATATATATATTTTTTTTTTTTGAGACAGTCTTGCTCTGTCTCCCAGGCTAGAGTGTAGTGGCATGATCTCAGCTCACTGCAACCTCTGCCACCCGGATTCAAGTGATTCTCCTACCTCAGCCTCCCGAGCAGCTGGAATTATAGGCACATGCCATCACACCTGGCTAATTTTGTATTTTTAGTAGAGATGGGGTTTTATCATGTTGGCCAGGCTGATCTTGAACTCCTGACCTCAAATTACCCACCCACCTTGGCCTCCCACAGTGCTGGGATTACAGGTTTGAGCCTCACATCTGGCCCTTGCTCTAATAAATTTAGTGGTTTCTTTAATATTACATTACATGTATTTTTAGTAGAGATGGTGCTTCTCCATGTTGGTCAGGCTGGTCTCAAACTCCTAACCTCAGGTGATCCGCCCACCTCAGCCTCCCAAAATGCTGGAATCACAGGTCATGAGGCACCGTGCCCAGCAGTTTCTCCCATATTTATAATGTAATTGGTCTTTTTCTACATTGCTATCAGATACATTATAATTTTCACTTCAATCATCAAGCACAATTTCAAAGTCTCCACAAAAAGGAAGGTCGATTGTGTTTACCAACATACTGGCTTATTATGGTTTATTTTCTGATGTTCCAAGTTTCCTTCTTTTTTTTTTTTTTCTTGAGATGGATGCTCTTGTTGCCCCGGCTGGAGTGCAATGGCATGATGTTGGCTCACTGCAATCTCTGCCTCCCAAGTTCACTGCCTCAGCCTCCCAAGTAGCTGGGATTACAGCCGCGGGCCATCACACCCAGCTAATTTTTGTATTTTTAGTAGAGAGGGAGTTTCACCACGTTGGCCAGGCTGGTCTCGAACTCCTGACCTCAGATGATCTGCCCATCTCAGCCTCCCAGAGTGCAGGGATTACAGGCGTGAGCCATCATGCCCGGCCCCAAGTTTCCTTCTTTCTTTTGTAATTTCCTTTCTGTTTAGAGAACTTTCTTCAGTCATTCATTTAGGGTGGTGATAACTTCTCTTAGTTTTGCTAATGATAACTTCTCATAGTTTTCCTTTATCTGAGATGTCTTGATTTCCTTTTCATTCCTGAAGTATATTTTTTCGAAGTATAGGATTCTGGGCTGGCAGTCCTCTTTTTCCAGCACTTGGAAAACATTATGTCACTTCCTTTTGGCCTCCATGGTTTCTGATGCGAAATCCACTGTCCTTTGAATCATTTTTCCAATACAGACGTTATTTCTTTCTTGATGCTTTTAATATCTTCCTGTGTGTCTAGTTTTCAGAAGTTTAACTATGATGCGTCTCAGTGTGGATTTTTTGGGGTTGATCTTGTTTGGGATTTGCTTAGCTTCTTGAATCTGTAGGTGTATGTCTCTTGCCAAATTTGGGAAGTTTTCAGTTATCGTTTCTTTGAGTACATTTTTAGCCCTGCTTTTTTCTGATGAAAGTACGTTAGATCTTTTTTTTTTTTTTTTTTTTTTTTGAAATGGAGTCTCACTGTGTCGCTAGGCTGGAGTGCAGTGACATAATCTCGGCTCTCTGCAGCCTCCGCTTCTGGGGGTTCAAGCGATACCCCTGCCTCAGCCTCCCAAAATGCTAGGATTACAGGTGTGAGCCACTGTGCCTGGTCTAGATCTTTTATTATAATATTATAGTCTCACACATCTCTGAGGCTCTGTTCAAATTTTTCCCAGTCCATTTTCTCTCTGTCGTTCAGATTGGGTAATTTATATTATCTTCTAGTACATTGCTTTTTTTTCCCATCTGTTCCCTGTTGAGTCCATCCACTGAGTTTTAAATTGTTATTTATTTATTTATTTATTTTGGGGTTCTAATTTTGCGTTTTGAGTTCCAAAATTTCTGTTTGGTTCTTCCTTACATCCTCTATTCTTTTGCTGAAACTTTCTTTTTTTTCCATTTGTGTCAGCTCATTTAACCAATTGTATTATGATTGCTTTAAAATCATTATCAAATAACTCTAATATTTCTATCATCTTTATGCTAATATATATATATATATATATAGAGAGAGAGAGAGAGAGAGAGAGATAGAGAGAGAGAGAGAGATGGAGATTCTCTCTTGTTACATAGGCTAGAGTGCAATGGTGCGATCTCAGCCCACTGTAACCTCCACCTCCCGGGTTCAAGCCATTCTCCTGCCCCAGTCTCCTGAGTAGCTGGGATTACAGGCACCCTCCATTATGCCCAGCTAATTTTCTTATTTTTAGTAGTTTTGCCCAGGCTGGTCTCGAACTCGTGACCTCAGGTTATCCACCTGCCTTGGCCTCCCAAAGTGCTGGGATTACAGGTGTGAGCCACCACAACAGGCCTCTATGCTAATATCTATTGATTATCTCTTTTTTTTTCCTTTCAGTTTCAGATCTCCAGGGTTGTTGGTATAATGAGTGATATTTTCATAGAAACCCGGGCATCTTTGTATTCTATTATGAGAATCTAGATCTTATTTAAGCCGTCTATTTTAGCTGGCTTTTTCAGGCACTTCTCCAGCAGAGTGGTGGCAGTCGGGAGCACCATCTTGGTGAAAGAGAAATTTGAGTTCCTCAATTGACCTCTGTTGACAACCCAGAGGACTCTTCATTCATGTTGGGCAA